GAGTGGGAGTCCAATTAGTTAACAAACTGATACTACAGGATAGTTGGGGCTTTAACTCCCGTGAAGCACAGGTGCTGAGAGTACATAGGAGGGGCACCCAGACTAGGTTGAGGATAGGGGAGACCAGGGAGGTCTTTCTGGAGGAGGTGATGCCCAAACTAAACCTTGAAGGAAAAATAAGAGTTATTTAGGCAAAGAACAAAAGTTAAACCAGGAAGAGGGCATATGCAAAAGCATGGATACTATGGGAGCATGGTACCTTCTGGAAATGGGTAGTAGTTTGGAATAGGGAGCATTAGAGGATTTAGGGCAGGTGAGTAATATGACCGAATTTAGTAGCGAGAGTACCCTAGCAGTAGGGTAGAGGAGGGATTTAAGGTGTAAGTCTGAAAAGAGGAGAACAATTCAGATGGAGGAGACCATTTAGTGGAGAAATAGAGGTGAAACAGTGTGGAACAGAGGCTGGTTTAAGAAGAGAGGTAAAGATATGCGGAGCCAGTGGGTAAGGACAGAATAGTCAAGGAACTCGAAGTCTCAATAGAGCTAAAGGCCAGCCTTCCTGGGAGCGAGGGGGAGAAAGAGCCAGAGGGCTGGAATGCAGTGGTCAGAGACAAGGGGCTGAGATTTCAGTCCAGCTCTCCTGAAAGGGTGTGGTACAGGTTGTGACTACTGGAGTGAGTGGTTATGGCGAAGTGGAGGTGAGTCCTTAGAGTTGAGGAGGGCAAGGAACCTGCATGAATGTTAAAGCCATTTAGCTTTGCAAAAGACCTGAAGGGAGAGACAGTAAGTCAGACGCCAAAGTCTTCAGGAGTGTGGGAAAGTGAGCAGGACATCAGTGGATGACAGCAAAAATAATAACTAAGATTTAGTGAGGGTTTATGTATTACTTCAATTCCTACTTTAAAAACATCTAAGCTCTGTAGATTTTATCTTACAATACTATGAGATAGAACTATGTGTCCAACACAGTAGCCACTAAACATATGTGGCTATTTAATTCTAATTTAAAAATTCAGTTTCTCAGAGGTACTAGCCACATTTCAAATGATCAATAGTCATATATGGCTAATGGCTACTATATTAGCACAGACATGAGACATTTCCGTCATCACAGAAAGTTCTATTGGATAGTGCTGATAACTCTCATTTTACAGACGAGTAGATTGCAGTGTGGAAAGCTTAAGTAACCCATCCGAGGCCAAAGAGCTGACAAGTAAACTGGAATTTTAATCCAGTTAGTCTGGCAGAAGCACTGTTGCCCTTAAGCCGCATGCTACACATATTCTCAGTGGAAGGGGAAATAGCTGGCCCTTATAAAGGAAGAGGAATTTATATGACTATCAGGGCAAGCTCCAATGGCGCCTACTTAGCAGCAAGCCTTTCTCCCTTGTAGGCAAAGTCTGGATTTTGTACAAGTGTTCCCCTCCCGTGCAGTCAGGGGATGAATCTCATTGGTCTAGTCAATCACAGTATTTCCATTCCCCCAGCCAATAGGACCTTAGGGGGCTCTTGGGAAAAATTTTGTTCTTCAATGGCGAGTCCACACCTGAGACTGGAACAGCTGCAACCATGTTGCAACTGTGAAGAGAGATACCATCAACCAGCCCTCTAACTAGCACTGTAATTACTGTCACCTCTCTTTCTCTTCTCTGTACAGCCAAGCTTCTTGAAAAGTTATTCATACTCACTGTCTTCCCTCCCTCACTTCCTCAGTATATTGCCAGATGGCCATTGTCTCCACCAGTCCAATGAAACTGTTCTGACCCATGTCACACATGTCCTCCTAGGTGACAAGAACGATGACCTGCCCCTGACCTTTTCTCACTGGACTCTCAGCAATATTCCACAGTTAGCCCCGCTTGAGTAAGCTCTACTCCCATTGGTTTTCATGATTCCTCTCTCCTGGTCTTCCTCCTACCTCTCTGGGTGCTCCTTCTTAGTCTCTTGTCTTCACAGGTGACTCTTCTGTGTAATTTCATCCACACCCAAGGCTGAAGCATCTCAGGGGCAAAGCAATGTAATATGGTGGTTAAAACCATGGCTTCTGGGGTCAGGCCACACGGGTTCAAATCCTTCCCCCACCACTTGATGGTTGTATGACATCCAAATCCCTATCAAAATGTAGATTGTGCCCTGGCTGGTATGGCTCAGTTGGTTGTGCATTGTCCAGTGCACCAAAGGGTTGCTGATTGATTCACAGTCAGGGAACATTGATTCACAGTCTGGGTTGTGGGCTCGATCCCCGGTAGGGGATGTGCAGAAGGCAACTGATGGATGTTTCTCCCTCACATTGATGTTTCTCTTTCTCCCTCTCTCCCTTCCTCTCTCTCCAAAAATCAATAGCCCTGGCTGGTTTTGCTCAAAGGTTAGAGCGTCGGGCCAAGGACGGAAGGGTCCCTGGTTCGATTCTGGACAAGGGCATTTACCTTAGTTGCAGGCTCGATCCCTGCCCCAGTCAGGGCGAGTGCTGGAGGCAACCAGTCAGTGTCTCTCTCATATCAATGATTCTCTCTCTCTCTCTCTCTCTCCCTTCCACTTTCTCTGAAAAGCAATGGAAAAAATATCCTTGGGTGAGGATTTAAAAATAAATAAATAAAAAATAAATAAATAAAAATCAATTAAAACAATTCTTTAAAAAAAGAAAAAATGTAGATTATCCTCGTCACCCTCCCCCCCAGGAGAGCCACTGTTCTGATTTTTTTCCACTGTAGATTACTTTTGCCTGCTTGAGAATTCATATAAATGGAGTAAAACAGGATGTGGTTTTATGTCTGGCTTCTTTTACTGAGTGTTTTGAGATTCATCCATGCTGTTGTGTATATCCATAGTTTGTCCATTTATATTTTATTACTAAGTAGTATCCCATTGCAGAGATATGCCACAATTTGTTTGTCCTTTCTTTTTCTTTTTTTTTTAATCCTCACCTGAGGGTATGGTTTTGTTTTTGTTTTTTTTAAAATATATCTTTATTCATTTCAGAGAGAGGAAGGGAGGGGGAGAGAGTTGAAACATCAATGATGAGAGAGTCGTCATTCATCGGCTGCCTCATGCAAGCCCCCGACTCGGGATCGAACCCCGAACCTGGGCATGTGCCCTGACCAGGAATCGAACCACCATCTCCTGGATCCTAGGTCAATGCTTAACTGTTTGAGCAACGCCTGACTGGGCAAGGGTATGGTTTTTAAAACTGATTTTTAGAGAGAGAGAAATGGAGAGCGAGAGAAACATCGATGTGAGAGAAACATAGATCGGTTACCTCCAGAAGGTGCCCTGACCAGGAATCGAACCTGCAATCTTTTGGTATATGGGAGGATGCTCCATCTAACCAATCCACCCTGCCAGGGCTATTCTTTTTTTCTTAATGATAGACGCCTGGGTTGTAGCCAGTTTTTTACTATTATGAAGAAAATACTATGAACATTCTTCTTCCAATCTTTATGTATATATACAGGGGTAGGCAAAAGCAGGCTTATGGTTGTTCATGTAGAAAAAGACATGCAAGTTATGATAATTACAATAGTTTTATTAACTCTGTTTTGCGTACTCACAACTGTAAACCTACTTTTGCCCTCACCTGTACATTTTAATTTCTCTTGAATAACTAAGAGTATAATTGCTGGTTCATAGGGAAGATATATGCTTAGTTTTATAAGGAACTGCTATATATTGTTCCAAATAGTATATTTTACATTCCCAACACTGTATAAGAGTTCCAGTAGCTGTACATTCTTACTAACATTTGGTATTGTCAGTTATTTAAAGTTTAACCATTTTGGTGAGTTGGAGAATTATCTCATTGTGGTTTAACTTGCATATTCTTGATGGCTAAAGATATTGAATACTTTTCATGGGCTTGTTGGCCATTTATATATGTTATTTTGTGAAGTATCTGCTCATATCTTTTGTCCATTTTTTTATTAAATTGGATTGTTTTTTTATTGCCATGTTATAGGAAATTTATATATATATAAAATACCAGTCTTTTGTCAGATCAGTATTTTGCTTACCTTTTTGGCTTTATTTTCTTAACGGTGTCTTTTGATGAGCAAAAGTTTTAAGTTTTAATGTTTCTTTTATGAATTTTTTTCTTTTATGATTATTGCTTTCTATGACTTAAGAAAGTTTTGCCTACCTCCAAGTCATGAAGATATTTTGTTTTCACTTAAAAGCTTTATGATGCTAGCTTTTATAGCTTAGATCTATGATCCATTTTGAATTAATTTTTGCATATGGTGTGAGGTAGGGGTTAAGGTTCACTTATTTCTCCTAGATGGCTATTCAGTTGTTTCAGCACCATTTGTTGAAAAGACATTCCTTTCTCCAGTGTATTGCTTTGACACCTTTGTCAAAAATCAAGTTACCTTTAAGTGTGAGTCTATTTCTGATCCTCTGTTTGGTTCCATGGATGTCGATACTTATGCTAATACCACACTGTCTTGATTACTGTAGCTTATAAGTCTTTTTTCCTTTTTTTAAATTAAACTTATTGGGATGACAATGATTAACATGAACATATAGGTTTCAGGTGTGGGTTAAGTCTTGAAGTTAAGTGAAGTGTAAGTCCTCCAGTTTTTCTTAGCATTGGGATTTTAAAAGCTCCCCAGGAGCCTAATGTGCAGCCCAAACTTGAGAACTTTGAGACCATTCTAATGTGAGCCAAAGTTTCCAGACCCAGCTTTCTCTGCCCCTATCCTCTAGGGCAACATGATAAACCAATTAGTAAACTTGATCCTACCTCCTTTGTCTGGAATCCTCTTCCTCTCCAGCTTTATGGCTGATGCATTAAGGACTTCATCAATTTTTCACCTGGCTCCCCACTACTTCTAGGAAAAAAGTCTAACTCCTTAGTGTGGCTAAAATCGCCCTTTGTAATAAGGCTCCCTAATTCTTCATCAATTACCCTCCCCAATAAGTACCTTAAACTTCAGTCATATTAGTTGTTCCTCAAATGTTTTTTTTAAGAAAATGTTAGTTGATGTCTTTTTATAACCCATATACAATTACTTGTCTCCTGGTTTGTTGAAGCAATAGGTCAGAGATTTGCCACAACAATGTCTGTCAAAGTGGCTGGTCATAAAATTCCAGCACCGCGCCCAACCAGGCGTGGCTCAGCGGTTGAGCGTTGACCTAAGATCTAGGCGATCGGGGTTTGATTCCCCGTCAGGGCACATGCCCAGGTTGCGGGCTCGATCCCCAGTCGGGGGTGTGCAGGAGGCAGCCGATTAATGACTCTCTCATCATTGATGTTTCTATCTCTCTCTTTCTCTCCCTCTCCTTTCCTCTCTCTGAAATCAATAAAGATTTTTTTTTTTTTTTTTAAATTCCAGCACCTCATTCACCTGAAGGGCACTCCTGACAAAGTCGGCTGATTTTTGCCATCTCATTCACCTTATAGTATTTCAGGGCAGCCAGCTTAAACTTTTCTCTTATGCTCATTCTCCTTGGGAGTGGTGTAAGATTTCTTCCTTTTCTTAGCACCACCATGAAGTCTCAACACAAGATGAAGAGTGGACTCCTTTTGAATATTATGGTCAGACAAAGTACATCCATCTTCCAGTTGCTTGCTAGCAAAGATCAGTCTTTGCTGATCAGGAAGAATTCCTTCCTTATCCTGGATCTTGGCCTTTACATTTTCTGTTGTATCCAAGGGTTCAACCTTGAGAGTGATGGTCTTCCTTCCTCTCAAGGGTTTTCAAGAAAAACTGCATCTTGGTGGTGGTTCCACCAGAGACGGCGGGTCAGAAAACTTCCTCAAGTGTTTTAAACTTCCTCATGCCTCCATGCTTTTGTCCAATAGCCTAAAACACTTTCCTCCTGTCATTTCTTCCTTCTCTTTCAACGTATAGTCTGGTATCATCTACACTGCTGTGCTTTGACCCTGGTTCCCATGGCCATCTGTACTTGCCTTTATCATAGACACTAAGGTACTGTGTAATAACTGTCAGTCTTCTTGTTGCACAACTCCACTAATCTATATGCTTACCGAAGTCTGAGACTATGTGTTTCCATCTCTTGTCCCTAGTGCCCACCAATGTGTTTGGCACATATGAGATACCTAATAAATGTTTATTAAATGTTTGAAAACTGGGCTCCAATCTGCATTGTGATTTGAGGCAAATTTCCTTAATCTCTTTGAGCCTCTATTTCCACATCTACAAACTAGAAATAACACTTATGCCACAAGGTGGCTATATAAGACTCAAGTGAGCTAATCCATGTAAAATCCATTGCTTGACTTGGAACATGGTAAGCACTAAATAAATCTTGGTCTCTTCCCACCTTCCACCAAACCCTTCAGAAACACCCTTCCTATTTACACTTCTTTATCTGACCAGTAGGTGGTGTCAGTCTCTGGTCTGACATTCAATCCCAGAGCAGCCCTCTTAATGCTCCAATCCCAGTGCCTGTTACACTCAGACAAGAAAAGATGTTTAATGATTTGCTGGGAGGTCCAAAAAAAGAAGATATCTTCTCCCATACTAACTTCTTTGCCTACTGTCACCATTCTAGGTGTCCTGATTATGGATTGCAGAGAATTCCTCTTTGACTTCCCACTATTTTGGTTATAATTCCAACCCAATGATTTGAAGATGTAAAATGCTTCTTAACAATAGAAGTGGGGGAAAGAGAAGAAGCTGAGGCAGAAAGGGATTTCATAATGAGGGCTATAGGAGACATACGGAGAAGATGCTTACAGTCTCATCCTATTTGAAATGAATTAATTATGATTATCTCTTCCACCAGCACAGGCACCCCTAGTCCTAATACCCGCAGCCTTCCCATCAATCAATCAAGAGCTCCTAACAGTGGGTGGATACAAAGAAATAAAAGGCATTCTTGCCCTTAAGGGGTTTATGGTCTGGTGGTAGACCTAGACCTGCAAAATTAAGTGCTAATGTCTAGATACTGAGGCTGTCTTGAGTGCAAGTTTGAAACAGAAGAGTGGGCAGAGGGAGAATAATAGGAGAGCTTTTCTGAGGAAGGTAGGGAGGAACTGAGAGAACAGTATAATTAAAGGCTCAGGTAGAAATATGCATTCTCTCATCTTATAGAGACACTCTCAGCAGTTCACATAGTAGAAATAACCTGTGCCCAGCATCCCCAGTAGATTGTGGAGAACCCAAGCAAGGAGATTCCAAGTAGCCAATATAAAAAGAGGGCTAGATGTGTGTGTATAATGTGGGAAAGGGTCAAGATAAGTTAATTGCAAAAAGCAAGTTACAGAATAGTATACATTGTATGAGTTTATTTGTGGTTTTAAATGATGTTTGTGTATATTTGTTTATCTTTTTTTCTTTTTAACCTCCTGGAAGGAGACCTGTGGAACTCTCAGTAGTGGTTACTCTGAGGGTCAGACTGAAGAATGGGAGTGTGGAGAGCAGCAAGTTTACTTTTCACCTTGTGCCTTCCTATACTCTGAGTTTTTTAATCACTAATTGTTACCATTTTATAAGATAAAGTTAAAAGTAAATACACATTCACATGCATGAGCTAGTAGGGGTTGGGAGGTAGCAAATAAGAAGTATTGACATGTTGGTTGAGGCCAGACTTTGGAAATCCATGGCTGGGAGAGGAGTTCATATTTGATTTAGTTATCTATAACACCCAATAGAGCTCTGCTAGCCAGGAAGAGACTAAACAGGGAAAGCAGATTTAGAAAGACTCACCTTTGTAAGATAGCTAGCAGGGAATGAGACTTCCCCCTCACAAGCTACATATGGTCATTCCATCTAGCTTTTCCCTTTCAAAGATGCCTGAAATCTGTTTCAATCTGATTTCACTTGGGCCATAATATTGGGAGAGGGTCCTGGGAGAGGAAGGAACCTAGTAGGCATTCATTAAAAACATTTAGTGAATCCCTGCTTGTGCCTGTCACTGTGTTTGCCCTTAGGGCTGCATAATAGGATAAGATCCCACGGCTATGTGAAAAAAACTGGCAGTGGAAAAGGAGGAAATTTGAGCTTTATTTCAAAGGAAAAAATGACAGACCTTGAGCATAGGCTTGCAAGATTAGACATAATTGGCAAAGAGTCTGAGATTTCTAGCCTGGAAGACTAAAGGTAGGTGGCCTTGGCCTGGAGCAAACCGAGCCCAGAGGGAGCTCTGGTTTGGGGGAAAGGTCTAGTTCCCTCTGGATTCCTCTGTTGCCATGAACGGACAAGTTCTCAGTGCTGCTCTGCTTTCTATCAGGGACAGACTGGAGGACTTAGAATCCTTCCTTGACTAGAATTTTAAAAGGGAGAAGCCTGGTGCAACTCTCACCTCTAACGTCAATTTCTGGCAGCCAAAGTCGCCTGCTGTCTCCCTGAACTCTGACTTCCAGACACCAGAAAGTCAGACCCCCAGAAAGTTAAAACACCCAGAAGGGGGCAGTGGCCAGAAGCACATTCACCGAGCTTTGGAAACCATCCGGCGCCTTCTGGACTCGAAGTAGCATTCCCGCACCGGCTCAGGGCCGGGACAAAGGTCCGGCACTCTGCAGACGGCTCCTAGAACTCGAGTCCAGAGTCCCTCATCTTATTCCAAATCCCTGTTGCTCGGAATCAAAAACCCCGACTTGGTGGGAAGCCAGTCAGAAGGTATAAAAAAACAAAACACCAAACAAAAAAATAAACGAGTCCCGACCTCTTGGGGTGAAGGGGGCGGCCCCACCCGCCGGTGACTCACCTCCCTCCAAACCAGAGCCTGCCCCTCCCGCGCCCGGTGCCAGGCGAGCAGGGCGGGGCGGGTACTAAGGTGGGCTCCAACCCCAAGCCCTAGGAGGGCCGACAAGCTCCGGCGTGTCCCCGCGGGTGTCCCTGTTTACTCCGAGCCCCGGAGCGAGGTGGGGGCGGGCCCTCGCGGCCCCTCCTCCACCCCGTCCCCCGCCGCCGCAGGCCCCAGTCCCAGTCCCAGTCTTACAAAGTGTTCGAATCAAAGCTCAGCCTTTTTCCTGAATCTTCCCCGCGGACTGGCGGCCTCTGCCCCCACCCCAGACAGGCGAGGCACAGTCAGGGTACCTCTAGGAAATGAGGCCTCGGCCCAGACCCCTAGGTCTGGGATCCCCAGACCCGGCCTGAAATCCTCGGGCATGACACCGAGTTTCAAAGAGAAGTCGCTCCGCTGTCCTCGCCCACTGCCCAAGCACCCCTGTTCCTCCAGCAGTTTGCAGCGAGGGAGGGAAAGGCCCAGTCAGGGGAGAGGACGCTCCCGGTCCCAAACGAGCTACCGAGGCCACGGGACCCCCACTCTCGAGCCGCTGGTCAGAGCCACAAATCTCGTAGCTGCCCTGACTCCCCCTCCCCAGGGCAGCGTGCCAAATGAGCGCATGCGCACTCACAGGACTGCCGCGTAGCTCAT